TCACACACTTAACCACATGCATTACCCCGGGAGCTCCCTATCCTACCAAGCAAAGATGTGAAAATGACATCAAAGTTAAATAAACAAACACACAAAAAGTTTAAAGGAAATCCATGAGGAAAACAACCTGTCAAGAAAAACACATGCCCTTCATTAAACGACGTGGTTTGACAGTACAGGGGAGAGAATGGGCAGCGTCTATGTTTCTCATCGACAGAAGCAGTTTGATTGGGATCCTGAGAAGTGGGACACATGGAGGCGCGCGCACTGCTCAATCAGCCCTTGTTTAGCATGGATGGCTGAAAATTACAATGAGGAAGTTAATTACAGCACTCAGGCTAATTGGAAGCTTTCTAAAACTAATGAGTCTAGCTTAATAGAAAGCTTTGGTGCTCAGCAGTCAAAGCAGGCTCCAGCACTAAACAAAGAGGGTGATCCTGTGAGACTTCAGATTGGACCAAGAAACCCTGCAGTGTTGGGTCAACCTTAAGACTGAAGGATAGGACAGATTTGGGCTCAGGCAGTTGAGAATCAGATAATGAAACCCTAAAGCTTATAGGAAGAATCCCGGATGGGCTATGGTTATGCCTATAGCTAATAACCAAAAGGAGGGCTGGCCAACCCTCCAGCAGAATCACAGAAGAAAAGCCTAGACATGATTCCATAAAGAGTGTGTGGGGAGGTGTCACAGAATTGGTTCTGGCTTGCACTGATCCAATTTAACAGCAGAGTAAAATCCCTCTCAGTCCTACGTCAGCCTCCCAATCCATACAGGTTGGAACTCATTGTTGGAACCTCTGTCAATCCATCTCATAAAGGAGCTCTATTTTCCATTGACCCCCTATTTTACCAAACATGATGCCCCCTCTTGATGACGTGTCCAAAGTATGTGAGATTGTGAGATGAAGTTGCACCATTTTCAACTCTAAGGAACCTTCTATTTATACTTCTTATAGTAAAAAAAAAATTTAAACTCATATTGTTGAATCATTTCTGACTCATGATGACTCCTGGTATCAAACTGTGAAGGACACAGCCTCTTCTAGGTCTATAAACTTCTGAAGTCACTGTTTCCATCTCGCCAACCCATTCCAAAAGAATTGTGTGCTCTTTGATTTATGCCACGTCAAAATGACAGCTTTAGTAGCCTCTGTGGATTTAATAGTGTTCCCATTATGTGTTTGGAGTTTGGAGAATAAAAGGGGATTTGAAGGGCAAGATTAGAGCCAACGAGTGAACAGGGCACACTTTTCCAATAAAATGTTCTTAGTATAACCATTGCTATACTCCAAGAATGAACAGGTACATTGTCATGATGGAGGGTGGGGGAAATCCCTCGGTGTAATTTCCCTGGACTTTTACTCATGTGGATTTTTCTGTAAACTTCTTCATAATAACCTCTTATGGTCTCCCTGTGTCCTTGGAGAAAATCTATCAAGATGCTCCCCCTTTGGAATTCAAACAAAATATTTGTCATACTCTTCTGAGCTGACATCTCTGTCTTGAATTTAACTAGCTCAGCAAATCCCCTTGGAAACCAAGCTCTCCAGGTCATATTGGAAAGTCCTAGACTTGTCCCCAAATATGATTTATTACATAAAATCATCATCATTAGCTTTGATCGTGCCTAGAATTGTAAGGTATGTGAACTATATATCAATAAAAGTGTTTAAAAATTTTAAGTACTTATTAGTCCTGACCAAAATAATCTCTTTCCATGGCACAAAAGCAAGACTAAAAGAGCCCAGGTGGCGATGTGCATTAGGTATTGGGCTGCTAACTGCAAGGTCAGTAGTTCAAGCTCACCAGCTGTTCCTTGGGAGAAAGATGAAGCTTTCTGCATCAGTAAATATTTAATGTCTGGAAAAGCTATAAGGGTCAACAAAAGTCAGATTTTATTCTAGGGGCTTGGGTAATGATACTAAGACTAGTATATGACTTAGAGAACGTATCTGTATTTTCTTCAGCCACCCACTGATCAGAAAGAAATGCTTAAGCACATGATGCTTGAGTTGAACCCCTGCAGGTGTGAACTGGAACCCTAAAAGCAGTGCTTTTTCACTTACCTTGTACAGCACGAGACCTACGGGTCTCATCAAACCATAAGAAAGATGAATAGCTAGATGACTGCCCTACAGAATAAATCTCATCACACTTGCATTTATTTTTTATAGCAAACTTACATTGATAAGGAAGGCTATAGCTGCAATCTTTAAAAAGAATGTGCCCTTAAAGTAGCACTAATACAAGCCCTTTACAAGTAAAACCTAGAATGATTAAAGTGCATTTTCCCGAGCCCCAAATACCATCACCGACTCACTGGCATTCACATTTGGGGTAACCTTCCATCCAACCCTTCCCACCAAACCACTGTGCAAATGGAATTCAGCAAATAGAGGCTTGCCAGTGTTGGAGATGCCTTCACTAGCAAAGACACATAATGCAGTCAGTGATCTTTTATAGAAAAATTAATCAATGATTTGGATTCATTAGCATTCTGTTATCACCAGCTGAATCAAGTAATAGAAAAATTGTGAACTCCATGGAATTAATTCTGACTCATAGGACAGACCAGAACTTCCCCTGTGGGGTTTTGAGACTGTAAGTCTTTAAGGGAGTAGAAAGTCTTATCTTTCTCCTGAGGATTGGTTGGTGGTTTTGGACTTCTGATCATGACCTTAAACACTACCACAACAGGACACCTAGGTCTAGTTATATTGTTGTTGTTAGGTGCCATCAAGTCAGCTCCAGCCCATAGCTACCCTATACACAATAGCACTAAACACTGCACTGCCCTGGGCCATCCTCACCATTGCTCCTATGCTGGAACCCATTGCTGCAGCCACTGGATCACTCCATCTCATGGAGGGCCTTCCCCTTCCTCACTGCCTCCTTCAGTCTAGCAAGCATGAAGTCCTTCTGCAGGGACTGGCCTCACCTGACAATATGTCCAAAGTATGTGAGACAGTCTTGCCTCTAAGGAGGACTCAGGTCTTACTTCTTCCAACATAGATCATTTGTTCCTCTATCAGTCCATGGTACTTCCAACAGTCTTCTCCAGTATCACAATGCAAGGGCATCAACTCTTTGGTCTTCCTTAATCCATGTCTAGCTTACAAATGTATATAGGGCAATAGATAATACCACCGTTTGAATGAGGCCCACCTTAGTTCTCAAAGTAACATCCTTGCTCTTCAACACTCTCAAGAGGTCTTGTGCAGTAGATTTACCTAATGCAAAATGTATTTTGATCTCATGACGGCTGCTTCCATGAGCTTTGATTGTGGATCCAACCAGGAAAAAATCCTTCATAACTTCAACCTTTTCTCCATTTATCTAGTTATATACACCCCCAATAATTTTCATTGTCCTTCAAAATTTTCATTGAAATGATGAAAGAACAGCAAAGTTAATCGAGTAATATACATTTTAATCTAAAATCTCCTCCAAAATTCCAGTCCCCTTTTATAATTTATTAAATGTACCTTTTTGGCAAAGTGTGGATGTTCTAGTAAATGAAAGATGAGATGATTTTGCAATGGTTTAGACACAAATTGCCACTTAGGATATCCTCCCCAGATCCCATGGAGCAGTGGTATTCAACCTGTGAGTCGAGGCCCATTTGGGGGTCAAAAGACCCTTTCACAGGGGTTGCCAAATTCATAACAGTAGCAAAATTACAGTTATGAAGTAGCAACGAAAATAATTTCATGGTTGGGGGATCACCACAACATGGGGAACTGTATCAAAGGGTCACAGCATTAGGAAGATGGAGAATCATTGCCCTTGAGCCTTGAACAACCTAGAACCAGAAGTAAAAGACTCATTCATCTATAGCAAACCCAGTCATTTCTGATAGCTTCATTTTTCAAAACCTAAAGGTTTATTTTTTCACATCTCTATGAAATCATAGGGTAAGTTCTTCTAAATGCTAAGACTCTATGGTTTTGTTTCTTATTGCAGTTGATAATGGAACCATTATGGTACATTAAGTCAGGAAAAAATAAGGATAGGAATCAGAGATTGGAACAGGGTCTAGAGTACTAGTCTTGGCCCAAGAGCAAGGGATTCTTCTAAGCTAATAAATAACCTGCTGTGGCATCTTGAGGAAGTGAACAAGGTAGTGGCAGCTAAGAGAGGGGGGAAAGAAAGGGATGTGAAAAGCATCTTATTAGACAAATTAGCAGTCTTTGATCCAACAAAACTCATCAATGAATAGTGCAAGTTTAACCCCACTGCTATTGACTCGATTCCAACTCACAGTGACTCGATAGAGCAGAGTAGAACTCTTCTCTAGGGTTTTTGAGACTACAGATGTTTATGAAAGCAGACCGCCACAGCTCTGTCTTCAAGAGTGGCTGGGGGACCTGAACTGCCAACATTTCAGTTAGTAGCCCAACACGTAACCCAGGAAGCCACCAGAGCTCCTTTCTTCAAGTTGAAAGACTAAAGTAATATTGACAGCCACATAAGACAAGGCTACTAGAGAGTACAGTTAGGTGGGGGAAATAAATGGTAATGCTTTCTGTGGTGGATTGGGCATGCCCACAACACTCTAAGCTCTTCCACATTTTTTGAGCATGATGGAAATCTTTCCCACCTTGAATACGTTCTTTAATTTCTCTACAATTTTAGATTAAATTATAATCTAACTAGAGACAGATTCTATAGTGCTTGGATGGTAGAGCTAGTGTCATCGCAGGAATTACAAAAAAAGATATACAAAGGGGGATTTGCACAGCTGAAGTACACATGAAGTTCAACAGAGGCAGAAGAGTAGAGATCTTTGTGCTTACAAAGTTTATTACAGCCGAAACTTACTAAAAGAAGCCTTGATGGTACTATATGCTAGGCATTGGGCTGAAAACCAAAAGGTCAGTGGTTCAAACCCACCAATAGTTCGATGAAGAAAGTTTTACATTCTCTGACACCCTATATAGAGTCTAGGATCTCCGTGAGTTGGTGGATTAGAGCTTGTTGATCATATCAAAAGCCAGTACCTGAAACATCAGTGGGGTGGTTGCAGAAGAAAAGTTCAGACTCTTGATCATATGATTTTCAGGATCATATTTTGACATAAAGCCCTTGATTATGACAGTTTTGGCTGTTCCTTGTTCACCAATTAATAGCACAGCCTAAAATAGAAGAGTTGTGGAAGAAATACAATAAAATCACAACAACAACAAAAACTTCTCTTTGGGACAAGTCAATGTTTACTTTCAACTAATACATGAGACCTAATTATTTCATTGCAATAGCAAATATTCAAACATAATTATTATTATGGAGGGGTACTAAAAGAATTCTATGAGCCTGAGTAATACCATTTATTCTAAATGGCAACATGAAACACATAATGTTTCATGTTGCTTCGGGACACATCATCAGGAAGGTTCAATACCTGGAGGGCATCATATTTGCCATAGTAGAGGACCAACAGGGGAGAGGAAGACATTTGGTCAGATAGTCACCACATAATGACCTCAGACACATCAGCAATAGGATGGTGTCACGGCAAACATTTGCTTTTTGCATACATAAGGTGGCCGTGGGTTGGGGTCCACTTAACAGGAGCTACTTATCTATCTATCTATCTATCTAGGTGTAATAAATAAATTTTAGATGTAGTATAGTTATCCATGCATTTGGTAACCTACATTTCAAACTGCAAATCATTGTAAAATAAATGCAGGCTGCTTGATATGTTCAAGTGGCATGCATGGTATCTTCAATCACCTCTTCTGCATGTGAAAGTTGGACACTGAATAAGGAAAACCAAAGAAGAATGGGTGCATTTGAATTATGGTTTTGACAAAAAATATTGAAAGTACCATGGACTGTCAAAAGAACAAACAAATCTGTCTTGGAAGAAGTCCAGGCAGAACGCTCCTTAGAAGCCAGGGTGGTGAGACTTCATCTCATGTACTTTGCACATGCTATCAGAAGGTACCAGTCTCCCAAAAGGACACCATACTTGATAGAGTAGAGATGCAGGGAAAAGAGGAAGACCCATCACAAGATGGGCGAGCACAGTGGCTGCACCAATGGGCTCAGGCACAGGCACCACTGTGAGAATGGCGCAGGACTGGGCAGCGGTTCCTTCTGTGGTGCACTATGGGTTGGAACACACTCAACAGCACCTAGGAACAATAAATGTTCAATAAAATAGAAGGCTGTACCTTGCCCTGTTTGGCAATGGTTTTAATTAGGAAGTCAGTCCTCACGTTATCCACGTTGGGCACCAGGATCGAGCCATATTCCGGCGTGGTGTGGGAGGGATACACAAACTCCTCGGTACAAGTGTTCCAGTGCATCCATTTACCTGAGGGGAACAGAGCGCATTCAGATCTTGATCTTCCATTTAATGATTTGACACCTATTGGTAAGAGGCAGGCATCGTTGAAACCCTAACAAGGCACCTTCCAAACACCGTGGTAAAATCAGAGAATTGATTATGTACATGCCAGATCAAAACCAAGCCCAGTGAATTCTGTCAGAGCGGCAATGTGAGAAAGGGGCAGTGGTGGAGGTTCAGTGATAGACAATCGCCTTCCATGAGAAAGGCTTGGGTTTCCTTCCTTCCCAGCGCACATCACACAACCACCACCATCAATCAATGGAGGCTGGCATGTTGCTACTGTGTTCTAGCAGAGCTTACACAGTAGGATGGACCTGGAAGAAAGGTTTGGTGATCTTTTTTGGGAAATTAGTCAATGACAACTTTATAGATTCCCACAGAACACTGTCCAACCGTCTTTCTTTGGGACACATCATCAGGAAGGGTCAATAGCTGTACGGTATCTTATTTGCTGTAGTGGAGGACCAACAGGGGAGAGGAAGACAGTTGGTCAGGTAGCCACCACATACATAGTGACCTCAGGCACATCAGCAATAGGATGGTGTCACACCAGACATTTGCTTTTTTTTGTACTTACGGTGGCCATTGGTTGGAGTCCACTTAACAGGAGCTACTTATCTACCCATCTATCAGGATGTAATAAATAATTTTTAGATGTAGTATAGTTATCGATGCATTTTGTAACCAACATTTCAAACTGTAAATCTCATTGAAATTGCCGATTCCATTGAAAGAAGCTGCAACAAAGAGCTCAGACATAACATTGTGAGGATGGTGCAGAGCCAGGCAGCGTCTCCTTCTGCAGCACACGCGGTTGCTAGGCGTTGGAACCATCTCCATGACGATACTTAACAACAAAACATTAAAAGAGTGCTGAAATGGATCCAAGTTGAAACTTCTTAAAATTTGTTGTTAAATCGTTGAAAATTCAGTGCACAACAGTATCTGTTTTAGTTGTACTGTTGAGTCTACTTTTGACTCATAGCAACTTCGTGCCACTGCTTGTCTGTCAGTTTATCCATTGCACCACATACATGTGAGAGTGGGACATTGAAGAAAGAAGTGGGGATGCATTTGAATTATGGATATTGGAAGGATATTGGAAGTACCCTGGACTGCTAAGAGGGACAACTGATCTGTCTTGGAAGCATGATGTCAGAGTTCTCCTGCGAGGCAAGGACGGGGAGACTTCACCTCACATACTTTGGACATGTGGTCAGGAGAGATCAGACCCAGGAAAAGGACTTCATGTCTGGTAAAGTGGAAGAGCAGCAAAAAAGAGGAAGACCCTCAAGGTGACAGATTGGCACAGTAGCTGCATTAACAAGCTCGTACACAGGAACCATTGTGAGGGGGGCGCAGGACCGTGCAGTGTTTTGTTCTGTTGTGCAGGGGATCGCCATGGGTCGGAGCTGACACTACGGCACCTAGTGACACTAACAGCAACCCCATGTAACAGAGTAGAACTGCCTTATCAGTTGTCTAGGCTGTGATCCTTCCCGGATAAGATCATCCAATCTTTTCCCAGTGGGTGGGTTCAAATGGAGAGCTTTTCGGTTAGTAAGGATGGCTTAACCCACCACCAGAGCTCCTAACAAAGATAGTTAACAGAGGAGAACGTGCAGCTGCAGCACAATCCAACTAAAACATTAAAAGGAAATAACCCATCCGTGAACATCAACTTTCTTGTGAAATTTTCCATTACAGTTTTACATCCAAGAGTATTAAAGGCCCATTTACAATAACATTTTTAATGAAATATTAGCCTTTTAGAGGGGAGGGGTAGAAAACACAGGAATACAAGTGTGTGTCTCACCGTCTGGTGTCACATAATAGTCAAACATGGTGTCTTCCTCGCCCGCCAGTGTGGGCAGGTCCAAGGCCAGCGCATCCTGGGAGCGTAGCCAGTGCTCCACCCGGCGTCGACCGTCCAGTTCCAGAATGGCCCCGATGCTCCACATCAGCGAGAAGACGTACAACCTCCCCAAGTGTTCGGATGTTACCTCCCCACCTTGTTCCTGTGGACACGCCATAGATGAATATGTTTTAGTAGACTGATTCTCAAGCCAAAATTTTGCTTTGGGGCTTCAATGGAAATAGCCAGCATGTCAGAGGAACACGTTTCCCCAGGAGAAAAACTAAGGGAGGGCAGATAAAGCTGAGGGGGAATTAATGACCAAGAGAGCTTTGTGAAAAAATGTTGTTTTCATTAGCAACCATCCAGTCCATTCCAACCGCTCGTGACCCCATATGTGCAGGGTAGAACTGCACCGTAAGATTTTCAAGGCTACGGGCTTTCAGTCCTATATCCTCAGTCCTTCTGTTTGAACTCCCAACCTTTGGGTTAATAGTCCTGATTGTCATCATCTGTGCCACCCAAGTACTCCTTGTGAAACACACAAATAAAGAAAATCCCCACCACCACCAAAAAAAATCACCTACTAGATGTATGTTTCAAACATGAACACCAGCCCAGGCCATTTCAATCATTCACTTCATATGTATGTGAAAGCTGGACCAGGGATAAGGAAGACCCAAGAAGAAATGATGCATTTGATGCTGGAAGAACAAGCAAATCTGTCTTGGAAGAAGTACAGCCTGAAGGCTCCTTAGAAGCAAGGATGGCGAGACTTTGTCTCACTCACTTCGGACATCTTATCAAGAGACCAGTCCCCCTGGAGAAGGACATCATGCTTGGTAAAGTGAACCATCAGTTGAAAGAAAGAGAGAGAGAGAGAGAGAAAGAAAGAAAGAAAGAAAGAAAGAAAGAAAGAAAGAAAGAAAGAAAGAGACAGACCTCGGAGATGTTCTGGCACAATGGCTGCAACAACGGGCTCAAGCATGGCCACGATGAGGATGGCAGAAGACTAGGCAGTGTTCCTTCTGCTGTGCCTATGGTCACTATGAGTGAGAACCAACTCAACGGCAACTAACAACAACATCTCAAGCACCCCCCCTTTCACCATAGTTTTAACAAAGTCAAGTTTCAAGAGTGGGACTCTTCAGGAGCCCTGGTGGAGTAGTGGTTACATGCTGGGCTATGAGCTGAAAGGTCAGCAGTTTGAAACCACCAGCTGTTTCTTGAGAGAAAGACAAGGTTTTCTACTTCTGTAAAGAGCTACAGTCTCGTAAACTCATGGGGGCAGTTCTACTCTGTCCTATAGGGTCACTATGATTGGCATTAACTACATGGCAGTGCGTTTGGGTTTGGGTTGACTCGTTACACAATGTGTTGTATGTTATATGTTTTGTAGGGGGGCGTCCCCTCAAGTTGGTCCTGACTCATAGCGATCAATGTACAATAAAACAAATCACTTCCTGGTCCTGTGCCATCCTCACAATTATTGTTAAGTTTGAGCGCATTGTTGCAGACACTGTGTAAACCCACCTCATTTAGGTTCATCCTTTTTCCTTTTTCGCCGCCCTTCTTTTTTACCAAAATTGATGTCCTAATCCAGAGACAGGTCTCTTTTGATAACTTGTCCAAAGTCCATGAGATGAACTCTCGTCACCCTTCCCTCTAAGGGGCAGTACTTCTTCCCAGACAGATTTATTTGTTCTTTTGGCTGCCTGTGGTACTTTCAATGTTCACACACAATATAGCCCCTAATAAGGGAGAGTTCTTAAAAATTGACCAGTTACCTTTGGAGGGATCAGGCCCTGAAGCATATTAATGCTTTGCATGATGACAAAGGCTTCAAGCATCTCCATCTTGTATTCCAAGTTCTGAACACTGAAGCAATACAGGTCTGGAAAAGACTCCGTATACAGCTGACGGAGAATCTCTGCTTCTTGAGGCGAGCGCTTTTTAAGAAAACCCTGTTGGTTCACAGAATCGTGCATGAATGGAATTTAGCAGCACATCAGGAAAATGGCTCTTTAGAGGCAGAGGGGCTTTTGTTGTTGTTGTTGTTTAAAGCAACCATTAATAATAAACCAAACACCAAGCCCACCACTATCCAGTTGATTCCCACTCATAGTGACTCTACAGAGCAGAGTAGAACTGCCCGTGGGTTTCGGAGATCATAATTCTTTAGGGGAGTAGACAGCCTCATCTTTCTCCTGCAGAGCGGCTGGTGGTTTCACACGACTGACCTTGAAGTGAGATTAACCCACTATATCATCAGAGCTCCTAGTAATATTACTGCCAGCAATTACACTAACGATGATGATGACATCTAACATTTTGTGCACGTAAGATATACAAGTGTGTTAGGCCACGTTGACGAGAGAAACAAATCCAGAGACACTCATATATGTGTAAGAAAGAGCTTTCTATCAAGAAGTAGTTGTGTATCAGGAAAATACCCCAGCCCAGTCCAACTCAAACCCATAAAGCCAATCCTAATCCATAAATCCCTCTTCAGACTCACACAGCCACAAGCAAGGATGCAAAACACAGGAAAATCACAGCCCTGTGGGGACAAAGTCTTGTGGATCCAATGGCTGTGGACACATCTCCAAGGCTCCTGTAGGTTAAGGTGAAGACAGAGTGGGGGATGGGAGTTTCCCATGACCCTCCTTATAAGATCCCATCCACAAGGAGGAACCATCATGCTGTGACCTGATTGACAGGCTAGATTGCACCCCTACACTTTTATATCTTCAAGTTGACGTGAAACTTTGTAAGTACCACAAGCAGGTTTTGCTATCAGCACGCTTATGTATTAGCTCATCTAATTCTCAGAACAAATTTGTTATTATCCCAACTTTAGAGCTGAAGTCACTGAGGCCAATGGAGTTGAAGTCGCCTGCCCAGGATGCAGATCCAGAGGGCGGGGATTCAGGAGCCGGTTACTACACTCTACCCAGTGACCACACAACACTTTTCAGACCCAGGTGGCGAGATCGTTTCCACCTCTTGATTAAAACATGCTGGATGTAAAATTAAAAAAAAAAACGCTAGATGTAAACGAGGATGCACAGATGTAAAATGAATTTGGAAAATAAACAAAGGACAGAAAATGAACGTCAGAATCCAGCCCCAGATTTTTTTCTTAAGGAGGAAACAAATATCGGCCACAATTCTTTCTGTTCCTTTTTAGTTTAATGAGTGAATGATTTAGGGAAATGTCAAAGAATAGTCAAGACAATGACGTCTTTATTTACATGAGGAATAAACATAATTATTTTCCTAAGGGGGTTCGGGTTCTGTTCATGCATCCTCTCAACATTCTAAGAACACTTAGAGACCCTAAAGCCAAGAACATTTCTGTTTCAATAAGCGGGAGAGGAGGAATGCAAAGTTGGGTCTGAATTATTCATTAATTCATGAATTTACCATCACTCCACAGTGACCAGAACTGCACGCACTTTGTAGATGATGAAACCCAGAAACCACATGCACCACAAAATTACACAGCGTGGTTTCTTAGAGCTGACAGATTCTCCTCCACAAACCCCTCAGCTGGCCATTCCTCTCACAAGTCTCGAGTCGTTACATTCCGCTGCTCTAATTACTCACAGTCTGACCCTCTGTGCGTCTTTCTCATTCCTAACCATTTCAATGAAGAGACGGCAACATTTAAAAAGCATATTTTAAAACTATTCCAACACTTATCTGGAAGTTTGTCATATTTGGTAGCTTGTATCTTGCTGTGATATTGGAAGCTAGTCCTCCAGTATTTCAAATATAAGCAGGGTCACCCATGGTGAACAGATTTAGACACAGCTTCTACACTAAGGCAGTCTGGAAGGAGGACCTGTTGATCTACTTCTGAACGAACTGGCCAGACAGGAGGAAAGAGGAAAGAACAAGAAAGAAAGAAAAAAAAAAAACCATATATATATACAGAGAGAGAGAGATGTAGATATGTGAATATTTAAGTATATAAATTTAGGTGTATTTGCTTATATGGATATATATATAAATACAGCAAGGAAGCACATGGACTTTGGGCCTCTACTTAAATCTTACTTCAGTACAAGAACGGTCTGTTCTAACAATGGGGCATTGCACGACACTCATCTTGACCACACAATCGCTGAGGACAAAATGGGTGCATAAGCAAATGCAGTGAAGAAATCTGATCATGCACAGCTATTAAAAGAAATGGGGTCTGGGGTCTTAAAGGCTTGAAGTTAAACAAGTGGCCATCTAGTAGGGAAGTAACAAAGCCCACACAGAAAAGTGGGTGAAGGGAGACATGGGACAGGGCAAGATATGACAAAATAATTTATAAACGATCAGGGGTTCTGAAGGAGTGGGGAGTGGGGAGGGAGGGAAAAAATGAGGACCTGATGCCAGGGGCTTAAGTGGAGAGCAAATGTTTTGAGAATGATGAGGGCAATGAATGTACAAACGTGCTTTACACAATTGATGTATGTATGGATTGTGATAAGAGTTGTATGAGCCCCTAATAAAATGATTTAAATAAATAAATAAAATTTTAAAAAAAGGAAAAAGCACACCAGTCTGTGTGATCATGAGGTGTCAATGGGAATAGGTATCAGAAGGCCAAAAATAAGCAACAAAATCAATGGGAAGGCGAATGGATGTAGTGGAGACCCCAAACTCACCTGTAAGATGATTGGACAGTCCCTCACAGAAGGGCCAAAAGGAAGGGATGATATATCCAGGACTTGGTATAGCACTGATGAAACACATAAATATCCTCTAGTTCTTTAACATTTCCTCCCATTATGATGGTTCCAGTTCTACCTCATTAACTTGTTAGATTTGCGTATGGTCATTGGTATAATTAAGATCTTCGGATGCATGAAAGTCAACATAGATAACCCCCCAGGAAAAGTAATGGGAGTAACGGTTTCCTGAGCCTTCAGGAAGAGAGGGGGAAGGGGAAGCTAATAGCAATGATGACTATATGACCCCATGCTATGGGAGCAAACAGCATAATTGAAGGTGAATGGTGAATGGATATATTAGATAGTGTAAGATATGGCCAATGTTTATATTAAAGGGGGGCTTATAAAAGGGAGTGGATATCAAAGAGGCCAAGAAGTAGTAGATCGTTTTAAAACTGATGGTGGTAACAAGTGTACAATCCTGCTTAATGTAACTGAACTGTGGAATGTTATGCTATCTATAAGATAAAAGGATAACAAATAAGATAACTGGACAGAGAAAACCTTGTAGGTTTTATACAAAAACCTTTAAAGGCAAGGGAAAAGCTTATAACAATGAGCATTGTCTGATATAGAGTAAAGGTAAACTCTGCAGGTTGGAAGGCACTCAAACTATGACTGGGGGAGAGCTACCTCCTGCATGCCGAGTTGGCCTTAATAAAGTGCATCTCACATCCTTGGACATGTTTATCAGCAGGCCCAGTGTCTGGAGAAGGACATCAAAAGTAGGGAGTCAACAAAAGGAAGGACGGTCTTGAAATAGGTGGACTGACACAGTGGTTGCAACCAGGCACTGAACAGAGCCATGGTTTGGAGGATGGTGTAGGAATAGGCAATGCTATTCCTGAGTGTTTTCAACAACAGAACAGAAAACAGTATGTGGATGTGGCCTTAGGTATTATTCAACCTCAACATTCGCAGACTATATAGAAGCCTATCTTCACAAATAGCAAACTCCACATATTCACTGGTTATTATTAATGGCCATAAATTCCTGGTCATTACCTATTCACTAGATACTAGTTTAAAAGCGTATTTTTTAATTTGTGAATTTGTACTGTTTTGGAAAAAATGTCACTTTTCATTTGGAGATCATTGTATCTGGTTCCAAGGTTGGTGTGGTAGTTATATAATCTGGTGTTGATTTGAGGATTAAGAGTGGAAGGGGTGGAGTCTACCTTATAAATCAGTATCTAGCCAATGAGCTGTCTGTGTGGGCATGACCTTCTCCTGAGGATTCTGGGAACTTCTGTATTTCCTCCTTGGAGTCAAGAGACACACTCTCAGCTCACTCCCTGTGAGACATTTCTGAGGAGGAGCCACATGAAGCTATTCTGAGGTAGTCAGAGTTTTAGAGTTGAAGGAACTATGTGGAGACCCCTGCCAGTGCTGAGATACCTACAACCCCACTGGATCCACAAGACGTCCCACCCACTGGCTTGTAATCTTCCTGCATTCGCCATCATTGCATGTATGTGTTCATGAGTCAGAAGAGGATTTTATAGATTTGTATCAAACATATGGGTTAATGTCAGACGTATGGACTTGATCTGGACTGGGCTGGGATGTTTGCTCAATATTCAATTGCTCTTGTATACAAAGCTTTTCCTTATATACACATATGAGTCTCCCTGGATTTGTTTCTTTAGTCTACCAGGACTAACCCTTTCATACACCTGGATGTAAGAAAGAATTGCATATGATGTTTTTGGAACACATTAAAAAAAATGAGTCCTAAATCCAGAGTGACTAACTTGATAGAATTTGGATGTCTTCCAACCATCTCTTTTTTAATACTGCTATCAGCAATTTTGTTTTCCTGCAACAGGAAATATTGAGACTCCCCGCTCCTCTGTATTTTCTTTAAACTATTATGCAATTGTGAAATCTAAAATCTCTATAAATATCTAAGCAACAAATTCAATGTTAACACCGTTTTTCTATCTAATCTGCTCTTTGTTAATATCTTCATCTTGGCCAAGTAGAAACCATTTTGCAACACAGGTTTGTGTAAATTCTGGAAAAACACTATCAGAACTTATAACCAAGAAGAAAGAGGTGTACAAAAACTTAATGATATTAGTTTTATATAATCTAAACATCTATTTTATTTCAATTATTAATTCATAAGTTTAATTCCTAAGATCCAAATCATACTCTAAAATATCATACAAAGGAAAATCATAAATTTGCCCAGTTATATAAAAAGAACTTTTCCAAATGGTTTATCTAATAAGCATTCCAGTTTACATTATAGTATTTGTTTTAGAAAATATCTAAATATGCAATGCACTTACATATAATCTGATTACAGTCAAGATAAGCTAGTATATATTGATAGTTGTAAAATAATATACAATGAATTGAAGCAATATTACCTGAAATGTTATTTCCCAAGTATAAACTTAAAATTTGCATTATGACCATTGTGCTTCAAAGACTTTTTTCTTATATGAAAATTTTTAAATGATCTTGAAATTAATATTCTGAATAAGTTATGTCCAAATATCTAGTGAATGAATATATCTTTAAAAGGGTAACTTCAAGGTGAAAATATATTTTTAAGTATTGAACCCTCTGAGACTGGATGGAAGGATTATTGGTTCAACTGTTTGCAATTGCTCCACCACCCACATGTTGAAAGTCACAAATTTTTTTAATTATACAAAAGAAAAATGCCAATCAAACCTCAAGGATAGGGCTCCAGTCAAGGATAGAAGAGCTCATGAAAACCATTCCATTTCTTGAGACAGTAGCAGGAGAAGCATTGTCAATGTTATGAGGTTCAAAAATGATCTTGCAGTTTGGAGCCATAGGGATTCGATCACCGTTGGCCAGGGTTAGAGTTTTGTTATCATCCAAAACAGAATTCAGATTTTCAATCCAGATGGCATCTACTGGACCATCAAGAACTATCCAGATATGTTCCCCTAGAATACCCACAAAAAATGGTATTTATTGAAGCAATACTATTATTTTATTGTATTCTATAATAAATTTTAATTTATGTAATGTTTATTAATTTTAAAATACAATTTTGATATCAATGGCTACCTTACCTTACCATGTAGAGCTTTTCAGTTCTTTACATAACAGTTATTTGAGGCCCATAATCAAATTAAAGAGTCACTTGCTTATAGAACAAATAATATTCATTGAGCGTGTGGTGTCACTTTTGAATATTGTCCTAAATAAGACAATGCCCCCACCTTTGTGGGGTATACTCTAAGGAGAAGTATATTAAAATAAAGGAAGAAATGTGTACTTGGGATACAAATACATTCAGAAAACAGGTAGGACTTGACATATCAAGGCACAGATCTCTGTTCATGCACAGTGAGTGTGAAGCACATCTAACATACATTTAGGTGGAGTTGTGCGTCAAGAACTCAAGGGAGTGCCAGGCTAGTGATAAAGATTGGGACACCATCAGCTCATACACCCACAATATGGAACTACATGGGACTGGGTATTCTTCCCCTAGAGAAGGAGCCTAGAGCTAGGTGGTCTTTGAAATTGGACTTCCAGTTGAGAGGCTGGGGGAGCCTCCTCATCAACCTCCTGTTTCTCCCAGACTTCTCAGCAAAGCAGGTAAAGAGGAAGAAGAACCAGCAGATAAGGTATCCCAAAACCATGGGCAGAGTTTGGAGAGGAGTCGAATTGACTCTGCCAGATGCTGCTAAGAACAAGGCTTGACTGAGAACTGACACTTGACCTCAATGAACTGG